GGCCCCGTCCAGGCACTCGGGGCTCAGCTCATTTTTCCCATTTTTTTCCCTTTTTTTTTCATTTTTTTCCCATTTTTTCACCGATTTTCGTCCAATTTTCGCCCAATTTTCAACCTAATTAATTCCCGATTTTTCCTAATTAATTTCTAATTAACCCTAATTAACCCCTGACCTTTCAGGCAGCCCCGGGCCCCGTCCAGGCACTCGGGGCTCAGCTCATTTTTCCCCTTTTTTCCCATTTTTTTCCCATTTTTTCACCGATTTTTGCCCAATTTTCAACCAAATCCATTCCCGATTTTTCCTAATTAATTTCCTAATTAACCCTAATTAATCCCTGACCTTTCAGACACCCTCGGGCCCCGTCCAGGCACTCGGGGCTCAGCTCATTTTTCCCCTTTTTTTGGTGTTTTTTTCCCATTTTTTCACCGATTTTCGCCCAATTTTCGCCCAAATTTCAACGCGATTTCATTTAAATTTTTCCTAATTAATTTCTAATTAACCCTAATTAATCCCCTGACCTTTCAGGCACCCTCGGGCCCCGTCCAGGCACTCGGGGCTCAGCTCATTTTTCCCCTTTTTTACCCCATTTTTTCCCCATTTTTTCACCGATTTTCGCGCAATTTTCAACCAAATCCATTCCCGATTTTTCCTAATTAATTTCTAATTAACCCTAATTAATCCCCCGACCTTTCAGGCACCCCCGGGCCCCGTCCAGGCACTCGGGGCTCAGCTCATTTTTCCCATTTTTTTCCCCCATTTTTTCCCATTTTTTTTCCCATTTTTTCACCGATTTTCGCCCAATTTTCGCCCAATTTTCAACACAATTTCATTTAAATTTTTTTAATTAATTTCTAATTAACCCTAATTAATTCCCTGACCTTTCAGGCAGCCCCGGGCCCCGTCCAGGCACTCGGGGCTCAGCTCATTTTTCCCATTTTTTACCCCATTTTTTTCCCATTTTTTCACCGATTTTCGCCCAATTTTCAACACAATTTCATTTAAATTTTTCCTAATTAATTTCCTAATTAACACTAATTAATTTCCTGACCTTTCAGACACTTTTTAGTCCCATCCAGGCACTCGGGGCTCAGCTCATCTTTCCCTTTTTTTTTCCGATTTTTTCCCATTTTTTCACCGATTTTCGTCCAATTTTCGCCCAATTTTCAACCAAATCCATTCCCGATTTTTCCTAATTAATTTCTAATTAACACTAATTAATCCCTGACCTTTCAGGCACCCTCTGGCCCCGTCCAGGCACTCGGGGCTCAGCTCATTTTTCCCATTTTTTTCCCTTTTTTTTTCATTTTTTTCCCGTTTTTTCCCCGATTTTCGCCCAATTTTCAACGCAATTTAATTTACATTTTTCCTAATTAATTTCTAATTAACCCCAATTAATTCCCCGACCTTTCAGGCACCCTCGGGCCCCATCCAGGCACTCGGGGCTCAGCTCATTTTTCCCATTTTTTCCCCATTTTTTCCCATTTTTACCCCATTTTTTCACCGATTTTCGCCCAATTTTCAACCCGATTTCATTTAAATTTTTCCTAATTAATTTCTAATTAACCCTAATTAATTCCCGACCTTTCAGGCACCCCCGGGCCCCGTCCAGGCACTCGGGGCTCAGCTCTTTTTTCCCATTTTTTTCCCATTTTTTTCCCATTTTTTCACCGATTTTCGTCCAATTTTCGCCCAATTTTCAACCAAATCCATTCCCGATTTTTCCTAATTAATTTCTAATTAACCCTAATTAATTCCCGACCTTTCAGGCACCTTTTAGTCCCATCCAGGCACTCGGGGCTCAGCTCATTTTTCTCCTTTTTTGGTGTTTTTTT